CCTGCCTTATTACTCGTAAATATGCACCGTACCCACAGTCTGCAGTAAGGTAGCTACCCAGCACCGGATATTGTCCCCGCGGGTGTCGAGTCATTGGCATAGCCCTCACTGAAAGAGTTGGAACTACTCGAGATATCGTAAACGCGTATCCGTGGATGGCGAACCTTTACATAACCTGCCCTGAAGGAGTTGGATCTACTGTTACAACTAGATGGCGTTGTCTCATACAGTTTTGAATTACAACAATTTTTTAACTTTTTTTTGAACCAATGATATGTTGGCACATTGTTTGGCGGTTTCCAAGTGGGGGCGAAAGTACAATTGCTAGGGTGCATCTTTAAAACCTCTGCAATATTCATCACGGGACGACTGACGACGCTTTTTCTTCCGAAACTACCAAGTGAAACCATTTTGATTGTAATATAGGTCACGAAAGCAGTCGCGAGACATCTTCTTAATCTCGGGCGGTCTGTATGACTGCCGGTGACTGGGTCATGTCGAATTTTCTATGGGAATTCGATTTGACCTTTCCCACCGATGTTTTCTAGGTGTGAGATTGCTATAATATAGATATTTTCCCGCAAATATGGTCAAGCGTGGGAGTTTTTTTTACCCTCGTGACTTGGTCGGCGAAGGGTAGGCGCGGAGGGTAACCCCATCTCCTAGGGGTTTGTGGGGCGCTGCTGCCAGGTAGGCGTCAATGAATACCTTTCGATGGAGGGGTCGCGAGCCACTGGTGCGCGAATAGTCGTGGAGGGTTACTACTCTCCAGAGTGAATTGCTAAAGTGTTTTGTCCTAAATTGACTCTTGGGAGGGTGGTTAAAAAATGGTTGCGGATAGGGGCACCCGCGAGACACCGGTTTATTCGCCAGTTTTGGGTTAAATTGTTTTCAGTGTACCAACAAAATACCAAATAAATTAGCCTTATTATAATAATATTATATTAATAATATTATTATTATAATAATAAATAAATTAACCGGTTTACTCGCCGGCCTTGGCTTAAATTGTTTTCAGTGTGGATGGTAACTTACCGGCCGCACAGACATGTAACGGCGTAGCATCATGCGCACAACCATGCTAAACGCGCTGAAACTTGTTTCATCGGTGAGTCGCCATTACACAATTCTCAAGATTTGATCACGTCGACGCTTGCTTGTGTTGCGGAAACGCAACGAAGTGCGTAAATTATTCGTAAAAAACTGTCTTCACATCCAGAGCAGCTATTTTGACTATTTTTTACCCCTGTGACCCCTGAATCAACCTCCAAAATGCGGCAAATGCGTCGTAGGACACACGTCATTTCTGAACCTGAAGCTGAATCGCCATATATAACAGAAAAGTCCGACCTCAAACTAACACCGGCCAAATTGTCCCACACCCCGGCCAAATGACCCTGCTAGTGGGTCAATTTGGCCGCCTTGCAGACCTTTGAAATACGTCACAGTTTCAATATAAGTAGTTACTCTAACAGTATAACGCCTTTTGGGGCGACTAACGGAGCGAGCGAGTGGGTGGGCCTTGCACGTGCGAAATTGCGAGGGGTACCTCCAATGATTTGTGCACGGCACCCTACTAACCGGTCTCTAGCGATGTGCCAAATTTGAGCGCAATCGGCCTAGCCGTTCTCGAGATCTGGAAGCGTCACCCTGCACGTGCGCGCGTGCGAAATGGGTCCCAACTGACTTGTGCACGGCACCCTTCTAACCGATCCCTAACTATATACCAAATTTCAGCGCAATCGGTTCAGACATTCTCGAGATCTGGAATCAACCCCTGCACGTGCGCACGTTCAGCAGCACCCCAACTGTGGCATATGGATATGCATGGCCTGGTGGGTGCCTACCTACATGCCAACTTTCAGAGCAATCGGTCCAGTAGTTAACGAGATATTGCAACTGTTTCAAAAGTGAGATCTCTTCGTTTTGCACGTGGCACGTGCATAAGGGGTCGACGACATGCATCGGGAATAGTCGAATACTTGGTAAAAGGAATGAAGCTACCTTACAAAAATTACCGCGTGTAAATTGGTCAAGTGGTTGCTGAGATATAAGCCTCGCACAAGCGTCCGCACGGCCGGCCGCTCATACTCAGAAATTCTCGTTTCTAAGGAAAGACTACGCTCGCTTCGCTCGCTCCGTAATCATTTCAGGTTTACTGTCCAGTAAAGTAAAAAGAATGCGACACCTGCCAGCGTTGATAAAATGCAGAAATACGTCGTCAATTTTAAGTTACATCGTTTTCTAAAAAAAAACGGCCAAATTACCCCATTCTCCACTACGTCTGTTATGTGATTTTACAATATTTTTCGAACATATGCTGTTTTTGATCAGAACCTCAGAAATCAAGACATGATTTAAAGTTTAAACCCCTATATCTGAAATATTTTTCAGGTGATTTGCTTTGAAATTTTATCAAAATATACTTCAATCAATTCTCTACAGGTACCCGAAATTTGGCGCGGCTGCGGCACGCCGTTTTTATGCTACAGTGCGGCGACAAAAGTGGGGCGTTAACCTTCGCCCCAGTGGGGGGGGGGTATATGTTACCACCCTGTCGCGTTTTTCGCGTGTGAATAAAAAACCGCGGCGCGTAGCGCCGCGCCACTAGGGGTAGCTTTTGGTACATCAATTTTGGACAATGTGTGAAATTTTTGACCCCAGGTCATGTCAGGTCAGGTCACCAGGTCAAGTTAACTGACCAAGCCTTAAAAAAAGTTTGCAATCATGTCCAGCCTGCAGTGTTTGTCAGAAAGGTTTTAAACTTGGTGGATTGCATGCTGTTATGGGAGCCTACAATTTGTATATCTCGGATTTTTTTTATATCCGTGACCTAAGGTCAGGTCAGTGGCATGACCTTTCCATTACAAGTCAATGGATAAAAATGAAAATGCCTCTAGATCCGTGTGTACGCATAGGAACAGTCCAAATATTTCTGAATCACAATGATTTAGTCCACTCGTGATGACCAAGGTGTCATTTTTGCTGATAGCCTCTAGAAAGGTCATCCGAGGTCATTTGAGGCTACAAACAGTTTTTTTTGTCAATAACTCGCGATTGGAAAGAGATAGAACGCTGGGGATGGTCTCATTGTGTTTGTCTTGTTGAGACGCATCGACTGATATGCAACATGACCTTTTCCGGTCAGGTCATGACCTTGACCTGAGGTCAAATTTTTAAGTTGACCTTTCAAGGTCAAATTATAGTTCATTCGACGCGTCTCGGTGAGGGGAACACGATTCTGGCGATAGAAATTTCGTGTTTTTTGTAGTCGAAAGTTATTGTCGAAAAACACTTTTCGTAAAAACAGCTATTTTTGGAGTTTTTGCCCTCTGGAGGCTAAACCGTTGACCTGAGGACAATATTGATAATGACCTTTTCAAAAGAAGAGTTAAAAAGCTATCGATTGCTATTCCATGCGTTTTTCTAGCTACCATACTTCCTGAGATAGCGGCATGTTTTCTGAAAAATATAATGACAATAGGCAAATTTTGATATTTGATGACCTCTGGTGACCCCAATATTGCTCTAAGGTGAAAAATGACCGAAATACTTTCAAACGTACGTATTAAGAGCTATCGACTGCTTTTTACCGCGTCTTTCTAGCCCTCTTAGTTTTTGAGTTAGAGGTGGGTGGTAACATATGCCCCCCCCCCTCACTAGGGCGAAGTTGGCCGAGACCGCCACTGGGGCGCGGGTTAACCCGCGCCCGGCTGGGGGTCCTGGATTTCCACGCCCTGCTGGGGGGGGGGGTTTTGAACACCCCCTTGTAACTCGGCTCCTGGGCCACGTAGTGATACGCGGAAGGCGGCGTTCGAAAGAGCGCAAAAAATAATGACGAAATCACTTCAGTCAATTTTTTGGTCAGGTCAAAGGTCAGGTCACCAGAGGTCATTGAAGGCAAAATTTCGCCGATTTCCAGGTCGAATGTCGAAAATTTCCAAGAAGCCAACGCATAACTCGGGAACCAATAGAGTTATAGCGCCGCGGAAAAGTGCATTCGATAGCCCTATTAACGCCCTTTCTGAGCAATTCTCTCAGATTTGACCTAACGTCAACAGTTTTGCCTGCAGGGGGCAAAAACTGCAAAAATAGCCGATTTTTTCGGAAACAGTTTTTCTGCAATAACTTTTGACCCAGGCCTTGCACGAGCTTACTTTTACCGGCATCGTGTTCCTCTCGTCAAGACGCATCGAATGGACTATAACTTGACCTTGAAAGGTCAACTTGAAAATTTGACCTCAGGTCAAGGTCATGACCTGACCGGAAAGGGTCATGTTGCATATCAGTCGATCCGTATCGTCGAGCTGAACACATATAAGGCGTTTTCATCGCTCTAGCATGCCTCTATCAAAAGTTATTTACGAAAAACTGTTAGATACCATTCGTGACCTAAGATGACCTCAGGGCACAGCCAAGGGTCACGGACACCATTTTCATGTTCAGTGTGTCTAAGCCACTTGTAATTCGGTGTTTGGGAGTGTTTATAATGTCTTTGGTCCAAAAGAGGCGCATTTCAATTTTCTCCCATTGACTTATAATGGGGAGGTCGCAAAATTGACCTGACCTTAGGTCATCGATATCAAAATTCTGAGATATACATTTTGTACATGCTATTGCTCTTAGCAATCGCTGAAAGTTGTAAAGCGATCGGTCACTCGGTGTAGCTATGACAGACATTGAAACTTTTTATGAGGTGGGGTCACTTTAAGTGACCTGGTGACCTGACCTTGAATGATCTTGGTCTGAAATTTTCACAACATGTGTAGAATTGATGTATGATAAGGTGTACCAAAAACGGCGGCGCTCCGCGCCGCCGTTTTTGAGATATTCGCGAAAAACCACAAGGGGGGGTGTTCAAACACCCCCCCCCCCAGCAGGGCGCGGGTTAAACGCCTCTGCCCATGGCAATTCGCGGCTTAGGCTACTACTTACGGATGTCCCGGTCGTGCAACCATTCAAGTCCAATAGATGAACCTCGGAGAATGGTCATTTCCTCAACATCTGAGAAATGCTTCGTTTTCTTCACGTAGTCTTCCACTGTACCGACTGCCAGCTCCATTGCGATATAGTAGAAATGTGGTGACATTTCCACGTGATAGTACCTTGAAAATGAAAAAGAACATAAGGTTAACAACAGCCACAGAAAACAGCGGCTCCCCGTGCCGCCCGTTTTTTTTTTTCTTTTAGACATCCGCGAAAACCGAAGGGAATGTCAAAACACCCCCCGGCGCGAGTCAAGAATTACGTTCGCCCGAAAGAGGAGAGGCCATGTAATTGTTTCCAAGCGCCACTTTCAGTGTCTAATGCGTCATTTTTTACATTTGTTTGCAGCTCGGCATCTCCGCACTTGCTTAACCCGCGCCAGGCTGGGGGTCCTGGATTTCCACGCCCTGCTGGGGGGGGGGGTGTTTGAACACCCCCCCTCCCACCTAACTCGGCTCCTGGGCCACGTAGCGATACGCGGAAGGCAGCGTTCGAAAGAGCGCCAAAAATAATGACGAAATCACTTCCGTCACGTTTTGGGTCAGGTCAAAGGTCACCAGAGGTCTTTGAAGGCAAAATTTCGCCGATTTCCAGGTCGAATGTCGACAATTTCCAAGAAGCCAACACATAACTCGGGAACCAATAGAGCTACAGCGCCGCGGAAAAGCGCATAGATGACAGGTATGTGTAGTGTGTACTTACCTACAAGGAAATTAGAGCGGTAATTGGAGGCATGGAAGGATCACCGGATTTGAAAATAGGGAACACCGGGGAGTGTTTCCAGGTTTGGGGAAGTCACAAGAGATGAGGCATGTGTTGATAATGTGGATAAAGATGGGGCTTTCGGCGTCGAAACAAAGGAGCACGGTGCGAATGCAGATGCCATCAGACCCACATGCAACGGACAGACACATGAAAACATAACTTCCCGCAAGCCGGCAAGAGTCGTGCCCGCCACCCGAAACCCACACGCACCCAGGCGGAGCAGACGGCACGGGACATGAGGCGGCGGACCGAGCCCAGCCAGGCTAGCGGCTACACGGGGGACCGCACTCACAAAATGAATCGTTCATTTCATCCGTTCATTTCATCCGGCGCGGAGACTGTGCGTATGAGTTCACTCGTATGAACTCATTTATGGCATGTGTTCCCAGTTTATATTTTTATGATTTTTATTTATTCCGGACATTCGATCTTATTACCTGATGACATTCGCGTTATCTTCAAGTTTTTTGAGGCAGTTGATTTCCTTTTCAATTCGCCGTTGTTCCTCTTCTGTGCGGTACTGAACGCGTTTTACCGCCACATCTTTCTTATTCCAACGTCCCCTGTGTGCATCCATAAACATCGTCATTATCTACAAGCAAAGGGGTCACGCTTAATCTCATTACTGATGAAGGGGCAGGGAAAGGCGATAAAGCCCTGAGCATGAGACAATACGGTGATTTTTCTAATAATTCATCGGCAGAAATGTATCTGCTCATTGTACATATGTTTGTTTAATTTATGTTTATGAACCACCGCAGCGTTTGTCAAAATACTCCTATACACACATACTCGTACATGCACAAAAAAGTATTGCACTGAGTCACAGTTAGTACAGGTCGGCTTGACATATACGTGCCACCTCGACTCGCGAAAGTTCGAACTCCAGTCAAGAAGGAGTAGTGAGTAGAGGTGAAAAAGTCAGCAGATGGACAGGATCTGAGAAAGGAGTTGGTATGTGCCGGTACTCGGGAGAGAAGGCTACGAAGGACAGTGTTGACCCTGGCAAAATGTGTGGCCCAGAGAAAAAGATTGCGAGTTGATCGGGATGGCACGGACAGGCCAAACATCGATACAAGATCGGGGCAGTCAATGCGGCTGTGATGCACGTTGTACAAAAACATATTGTCATGCTTGATAAATCTAGCTTTGACCCGCGCCCCGCTGGGGGGGGGGCAGAATCTGCCCCTCCCCTCCCGTTTTTCGCCAATACCTTATCCCTCGCCCTGGCAGGGCATTTTTCATAACACGGCCTGGCAGGGGGGGGGGGGGGGGTCGATGCGACCCCCCCCTCGCGATTGGCTCCTATGGCACCTAGAAACACCAAATTTGGTAGGTAGGTGGGCCTCCTGGAGTTCTCGCCCCTGTGCAAATTTGATTGCTCTAGGTCAATATTTAGGGGGGTTTTGGGGGGAATAAATGTAAAAATTTCGCTAAAAACAGGTCAAAAGTTTTTCGCTTATAACTTTTGATCTAATTAAGATAGAGCAAAAAGAAAAGCACCAGTGAACTCAGCACGTCAAGGCGCGTCGAATGATATACTTTTTAGCTTGCTTAAGTGTACTTAAAGTTTTTCTTAATTTTTAAGTAAACTTTAATTAATCAATTAAGTTCAAGTTAACCAAATTGCATCATGTCCCATATCATTCGATTCGGCTGATCAGCAGGAACACAATGATACCGTTTTTTAAGCTCTAGCGTCATTATGTGCCAAGTTATTGGCAAAAACGTCATTTGACCTCAGTTGACCTCATTTGACCTGACCCATGTATAAGTACACCAAACAAAGAAGCACCAAGTGACCTGCTGTTAAGTACTGTGGTTTCAAAGCACAAAAGTGATAGAACGAAGCGGATATCTCCAGTATTTTCCGAATTTAGTATTTCCCCATAGGCTTAACATTACGACGTAATGACCTCTAACTGACCTCAGGTCAGTGACCTCAAAAAACCCGAACTATATGTTATACAACTCGGTGAACTTAGCACATTCTGAAAGTTTGAAGGAAATCAGTCAAAAACTGTGAGTTGGACAGGTGCAAAAAGAAAATTGAAATTTGACCATGACCTTGTACCGGTTTTTCTGACCTGGTGACCTGACCCAAGGTCACCCGGACCTGAAATTTTCAGGTTATATGTAAAAAGGTTGCCCCATAGGCTGTGCCAAATTTGGCGGCGCTGCGCGCCGGCGTTTTTACGCTATTTTCGAAAAACCTTAGGGGGGGTCGCATCGACCCCCCCCCTGCCAGGGCGAGGGTTATAAACGCGTCACGCCAGCGACGTTTAACTTTTAGGACCTTATCATACATCAATTTCACACGTTCCCTGAAAATTTGAGCGAAATCCGTCAGAAATGTTTTAGAAATGACGTTTTAGTGACGTCATGTTTGCCATTTTCGCCTCAAAAACGGCAAAATTTCAAACGCCGCTAACATCTTTATTTTTAGAGGAATCAAGACGTAACAAAAAGGTTATTCGTGATTCTACTTTTTCTATCAAATGGCCATCTCCGTTTTTTGAAAATTTTGGATTTTGACCCAATTTTTTTCTAAAAAAAAACTGACTTTTTGGGGAAAATAATTATAAAATCCAAAATTTTGGGTGTATAGAAAAACCGGAATATATGTCAGAAGTGGTCTATGTGCACCTACATACAAATTTTCAGAAGAATCGATTCAAAAATGTGGGAGTTATTCAAAGTTTTATGACGTCACGACACACAAAATTAAAAAAAAATTGAAGTTCTAGACCTCGTACGGAAACAAAAATAGCACCATTCGATTCGCCGTAAAAAACTGCATCAGATAGACACCTTTTTTGGCCTTAACAACCAACTTCAAAATTTGACCTCACTTGACCTGACCTTGACCTGACCTCGACCTGAAATTCATCCAGAGGTGGTCCATATCACTTATTGAGTGTGCACTGTGCTTATTGAATTATATGAATAAAGTGACCCATAAGACATGTGTCGCACATGCCCTTTTCTATAGTTTGTTTTTGGTGACCTAACCTGACCTGACCTGACCTGACCTTGACCTTGACCTATGCATGATATTGTATGCAACGAATATTGTCCTGGTAGCCTAAGAACACGTTTTGGGCAATCATTCTCAGTCCATTCTTCGGCAACTTTGGTGCAAGGCCGATAATGTAGAAACTTGCATTTTGTACCCTTGACCTGACCTTGACCTGACCTCTGACCTTCTTAAGCAAAAATATTTGGGCTTTTTAGATCCGCCTTGTTGAGAGCTTTCTATTGCCGTTTTCCCCGTCTTTCTACGACCATCGGTTCGGAAGTTCGACAGGGGGGGGGCAGAATCTGACCCCCCCTCCCCCCCAGCAGGGCGCGTATGGCTGAATAGCCCAACGGGGCGCGGGTTAACTGAGCACATGTTAACCCGGCAGTTGCTGGGGTATTTCGCCACCCACCGTTTGCTGGGGGGGGGGGGCGTTAAAAGCCCCCAGCCGATAACTCGAGAACCAATAGGCGCAGCGAAACGCACGAGGCGGCAAACGAAAGAGCGCGACGAGACGCTTCAGATGAGTACTTTAAAGTTGAATTTTGAGGTCACAGGTCGGGTCAAGGTCAGGTCAAACACCTGAAATCGGGCTTTCAGTAACATGGACTTCAGGACTTCGCAATGGGCGCCTCTCGCCATAAACTCTGTCAAAACGGTGCACAATCCATCTTATAAGGCCTACAAGAGTGTCAGCTTCATATAGGGGTCAGTCAAGCATAGGTCAGGGTCAAGGTCAGGTCAACCGGGTAGGCACATATCCCCGAAAATCAAAACTGATATTCGCAGCCTGTGACACATGTTTTATAGGTAATTTGGGGCGTAGAACACGATGGTGACATTCATTTTATCATATGTGTACGTGTTTGGCTCAAAAAGTTCAATTTAAGAAATTCATGTATCATGGTCGTGAAGTAGTCACGAGAAATTGCCAAGATTCAGTTCAAGAATTTGGAAAATGCGGAACGATAATCAATAAACGAAGATAGCCATTTGATTGATAATGGTATTTGCAGTCTAATGGCGTTTAAGGCATGTATGTATGTCTATTCTGTGATTTTATATGATTTTTTGAACATATGCCGTTTTTGGTCGAAAACTCAGAAATCATGACGTCACTAAAACCTCGATATCTCCAAAATTTTCCGACCGATTTTTTTGAAACTTTGTCACAATAAACTTCAATCAATTTTCTACAGGTATCCAAAATTTGGCGCGCCTGCGGCGCGCCGTTTTTATGCTGTGGCCCGGCGAAAAAAGTGGGGGCGTTTAACGCCCCCCCCCCCCAGCAACTCGCGGGTTAAATTGAGCTAAAAGCGCCCCGTAACTCAGGTCAACGCTGGGCCGGTCCGATCGGAACGCCAGCCACGTGAGGAACCTATGCTGGACTCGCTTGAGACGTTTCAGATGGGTATCAGCAGTGCCTGACCATACTACGCTGCCGTACTCCAGCAGAGACCGAACGTGTGCGCTGTACGCGCAGATAAGGGCCCCGTGGTCTAAGCGTGAGCTACGCCGAAGTCTCGGCAGCTGCATACTGCGGATGAGAAGGCTTAACCCGGCAGTTGCTGGGGTATTTCGCCACCCACCGTTTGCTGGGGGGGGGGGGCGTTAAACGCCCCCAGCCGATAACTCGAGAACCAATAGGCGCAGCGAAACGCACGAGGCGGCAAACGAAAGAACGCGACGAGACGCTTCAGTAAGTACTTCAGGGCCTCGTCTAACATGTTAACTGGGGGGGGGGGGGCAATTGCCTCCCCAGTCGAGCGGATTGCCCCCCCCCCCAGTGGCCAACATTTGCCCCCCCCAGTCAAAACGTGAACTTTTCACAAAATTACCTTCTCTGCAATACGTTTTTGTTAGGAGTCTTACATGGATTTACCGAGAAACATTAAATAATTTGTTCAAAAACTGTTCATGGCTACGGGAAAAGCCAGAGTTTTGTAATTTTCAGAGTTGAAAGAGCCAAGTAGCAAATTGTCAATTGGCAGCTGGCCAGTGACCCAACTCGTGTTTGCCTACCCCACACTCAATCAAACGCCCAACACGGATAAGTATGTTTATCACTGTCTGGTGGGGCAATGTGAGGGGGTAACACACTAATCTTAAGCTATGAACCCATCTCACCACACGAAAGTGGCAGAAATGACGATGATCAGCTGACGCATTTTTCTTGGCCGAAGTCAGAGCCAGGGTTGGACAAATGTGCTGAGTTGGGGTAGCACGGGCGCAGCAAATCCGCCGCCGCCCTAGCGGTGACCTTGACCTCCGCCGTCTGTTACGGCCCTAAAGCCAAGCCGGCGTGGAATTGGGAAAGCTCGTGCTACCCCAACTCGGCACAATTATCCACCCCTGGTCAGAGCGCGTCAGACCACCGCACCACAAAGTATGAGCAGAAGCCACATAGCAGGCGTGTTCAAAACCGTAGGAGATGATGATGAACGGGTTTATCGAAACTTGATTGGATGAGCTTATCGGTAATAGCGATTTTAGTGTGTGCATTTATTGTTCATAGTGGTGTGAAATGTGGTTGGGGTACGACCG